CGCCCGCCCCCCTCTGCCGCCACCCCCCTCGCACACACCCCCTCGCAGAAGTTGTGCAGCGGCCATGGACGTGGCGACGTCAGGTGCGCGCACGCCGGGCCAGTGATTTCCAGCCACCCTCGTCAGCACCAGCGACTCCTCCTTCCCTTTGGCCATCTGCTCCCTGTTTTGCAGCAACCCGGATCGAGCGACTTCTTCGGTGACCATGATTGGCGTGAACAGCCTGCACTCGGCGGGACGTCTGCGCTCGCGCTCGCTTTGCACGGTGCGCTACGGCCGCGATTTCCGCATGATGGACCCGTTTCGCTACCCCAGGACGCCGCGCTCGCGGTCCCTCAAGCCGCTCGTCTTTCCCGACCTGCTGGGAAAAGCTCAGGACGGCCAAAACCACCCGCAGGCCCGCAAGAGGAGGAAGGTACGCCAAAGCACGTCGCTATGGCGACCAACAGGTCGTCTCCCGACTCCTCTGCGAAGTTCACTTTGGTCCGGCCGCTTGACCACTGGTCTCACCACGTACGCCGCCGACCGGGCTCGAGCTGGTCGCTAACGGGTTGCTAACTGAATCGGAACCGTAAGCCTCACGGGTTTGTCGCGATCGGCTTGCTAACTGATCGGTTGTTGGTGATAACTCGTCGCTCGCTACTGCAATTGACTTCCCGCTCTCGTGACGTCATTGCCAGCTGGTCGCTCGTAACTGACCTGCACGCTCGATGTCAAGCCACGGCAGAGAAGTGCTCATTCTGAGCCGGTTGTGCAACTGTAACCAAAACTTGTTCATACCTGGGATTTCCTTTCAAACACCCCAGATGACAAAACTTTGTGATATTTGAAATGTGCGGATCTTCTTTATCTGATGTAATTATTCTAAAAATATGTTTAAAACTTTAAACCCCCCCTTTTTTTTTTTTTTTCTTTTTGCTGGGAGCCATTTTTAGCTCTTAAGTCTCACGAAAGTACAGATTAGCAAGAACTGGAATTGTTCTTCCGGCTTGCTTTATTTCGTAGGATCGGTCAGATGCACTGAAAGGAGACTTTGATTCTCTTTCAAATATAAAGTCACTGGTTCAAGCAACTGAGGCGTATGTTCGTATAGTTGAGTGTATGATTGTCAATGTATGTTATATATTCTGTTTATTGTGACTTTAGCCCTATCAGGGACAGCGGTTACTACGATGGACAGCTTGTCGGGTTACGGGTTAGCATTATTGGTGCATGAATGGGTTGAATGAAATCTCCTGGCCTGCAATGAATTGCAGCAGTTGTCTATCAACTGCTCGGTAGCTGCTGTGACGATCCGCGCAATTGACCTACTTCTACCCTAATCCTAAAACTCGCTCGATGGTCGCTAAGTGGTGGCTAATTCGTGCCATCAATTTCCTGCTCTTATGACATCACCACCTGCTGGTCGGCGATTGGCCAAAAACGAGCAGCTAGCCGGTTGCTAACTCAGCCTGAACCCTGACCCGAACCCTTCATGTCAGGCCATAGCAGACAAGTGATCAATCAGTCTGACCTGATTATGTTACTGACTAGGGACTTCCTGGAATTGTTTTTGCACCCTGGGTGCTTATCAAAAACGTTTTTGTGGTAAGTAACAGCACTGGTTGTCTCCTCCAGTCAGCTGTCTGTATCTTATTTGAGCCATCTCTTGAATCGCGACGCGAGCTGGTCACAAAAGTGTGAATGATTGATTGACAACTGGTAGCTAACCGTGAGCGACGACAAATCTAAGTAACCTGTTTGTTTGTTTGTTTGTGTGTCTGCAGGCTCTCTATAACTCCATCAAAACACAGAAGCTGCAGTGGACCCTGTAAGTCCGACATGTACAGTACATGGACACACACACACACACACACACACACACTAGTCACTTGGGACTATTGCAATTATTCAGACGATCCCTACCCCCCAATCCCGACGAGGGATATTTACGAGACTTTTGAGGAACTATCCAGGTCCGGTCCAGTATCTAAAAATCCCTAAAGAGTGATTAGAGAGTAGCAAATTGCAAACGTTGACAACGGGCAGTTCTACAGATGCTCGGAGATGGCAATTAGGCGAGCGGCTGGCTGGGCTTTGTTGCCAAGGTGACGGCACCATGGCGACCACTCTCTCTCACTCTCGCTCTCTCTCACTCAGTTTGCGCTCTCTCGCATCACCTGCATCCTCCCACTTCCTCTCCCAGAATAGCCGCGGGAGCAAAATACTTCATCTCCATGACGACGCCGTTTGATGACGTCGCACGGCCACCTGACGGGGCGTATCGGTGCTCGCTTTGTGTGGGTTTTGTGTACGCGTGCATGCATGAGTGTGTGTATAATTTGCGCAGCATGGCGAGGTGTCACCGTGGAAACACATCCCCACCAACCCCCCCCTGTGTAAGTATGGGTGTAAGAAGCCGCTCAGGCCGTGCAGCAGTTGCCAGGCAACAGGCTGCGTGCTGATTGGCCTGACCGAGCGCGTATGTGGCGCTCTCGTCTGTCTTCTATTTGGGAACTCAGGGCGCCACCTGCTGAGCTAACAAGTGTTGCTCGTGTGACGTCAGACAACACCGTCAGCCACGCCTTCTTCTTTACACACACACACACACACACACACACAAACAAACGTTTTGGACTAACTTTGTCCAAATATATTTCTTTTTTTTTGCTACGTGATTGCTACGGCGACATGACGCTGCCTCGACCCACTTGATGACGATCTTTGTTTTGGTGACCAGTCGCTCTCGTGTTTGCTGTCTCCATAGCGATGAGGAGGAACTGAGGAAGTCCTTCTCGGAACTCGGGGACAGCCTGTGCGACTCGTCGAGATCGGCCAAGGGGAGTGGCGGCGGTGGTGGCGGCGGCGGCGGCAGCGATGATGGGACGTTGTCGGCGGATGAGACGCCGCCCTGTAGGACGCCGCTGTACAAGAACGGCTTCCTGGTGCGCAAAGTGCACGCCGACTCGGACGGGAAGAGAAGTACGTAAGAAGCCGTTCGGGACGCCGGCTTAGGATATTGTTCATCCGCAGCGCTTCACACACACTCTCACAATTGTTTGTTGTGCGGCAGCGCCGAGAGGCAAGCGAGGCTGGAAGACCTTCTACGCCATCTTGAAGGGGCTCATCCTCTACCTGCAGAAAGTGAGTCGCGCCTCACGTCGTGTCACGTCGCTTGCGAATGGTCACGCTAACTTCCTGACGCCCGGGCGGGGCGGGGCACTTAGGGCGAGTACCGCGCCGACAAGCCGCTGACGGACGACGACCTGAAGAACGCCGTCTCCATCCATCACTCGCTCGCCATCAAAGCGGCCGACTACAATAAACGTGCAAACGTCTTCTACCTGCGGACTGCAGACTGGAGGCTCTTCCTCTTCCAGGCTCCGTAAGTGTGTGTGTGCGTGCGTGTGTGTGCACACGTTCAAACGCTCACTGACACACGCGCACAAACCCTCACACACAGACACATGCATGCGTCCTCTCATACACACATTGAGGCCTCGCCGCTCCAGTTCCAGCTGGTCTTTGGCCCAGATAGTCAAGCCCCGCCTCCCCACGCTGCCTCGGTCTTGAGGGAGTTTGCTGATTGACTGCTTGTGTGAGACTTCCTGCGTCTCCATAGCGACCATTGCACATTGCGTTTCTTCTTCTTGATGATGACCTTGGGGGTCCTGTTGGAATGTGTCATGAGTGCGGGTCGGGTGTGGACCTTTCCCATATCAACCCCGACACCGCTGATTGCATCAAGCTTGCGATTGGCGCCAGTGCTCATTGACGTTTGCCCATCGACCACGACAGAAACGCCGAGCAGATGCAGTCGTGGATCACCAGCATCAACACGGTGGCGGCCACATTCTCGGCTCCGCCCTTCCCGCCCGCCGTCGTCTCCCAGAAGAAGTTCAGCAGGCCTCTGTTGCCGGGCAACATGTCCAAACAGTCCGAGGTGGGCCCGCGACACACGGCAATCACAGTTTGACTGTTGTGACCAACATTGTTGTTCGACAACTGTCTAACTTGTAATGTGAGTGACGAGCATGAACTGCAGAACCAAATCATTTGTGAGTCACGTCGATCGTCCACGTGAGCGCGAATAAGGTGCATAAGAAGTGACGAAAGAGATGCTAATAGCGTGCGGCGCGTGTTCATGCCATGTGTGTTTGCAGGAGGAGCAAGCGCGTTCCCATGAGGCCCGTTTGCGGGCCGTATCTTCGGAGCTGGCCGAGCTGCTTTCTTGCCCGCCCCAAAACAAACTCAAAGGCAGACAGCTAGACCAGTACCAGCAGAGGGACCAGTATCTGCACTTTGAGGTCTGTGTGGAAACCATTACTCTTGAGCAATGATTGTTGGGGGGGAAAAATAAATAAACACGCCACCAACGTGCATAAAACATATCAATAATATTTGGTACATGCTACTGGCTGAGCCATCATTGACAGCCGTTGTCTGACTTGTGCAGAAAACGCGCTACGAGACATACGTGGCCCTGCTGCGGGCCAAGATGGAGGGCGGTGGCGGCGGCCCCAGCAGCGAGGCCGAGCTAGAGGAGGACGAGGGCGCTCTGCAGAGGGCGCAGTCCAGCCCCACCCTGCACGACGGCAGCCAGGCCAGTGGAACCCGAGCGGGCGGCAAAGCTCGGCAGGACGTCCAAAGGCACAGCTACAGGCAAGCCGTGAAGAAGTGAGGACGGTCTCGACGCCCGCCGCTGGGCTTTTTCTTTGCTTTGGAGCGGGCGGTAGCCTCTCGCCCGCTACGCCCTGCTGCTTCCTCAGGCCAGCCGGCTTGCCCGCTACCCGGATGGATGGGCGGGGACAATGGCGCCCAAATCGGCGTGCAAAATGGCACCCAGTCAGAACAGGATAGTGCCCTGCCAGCATCGCATAAACACCTTCTATTTGCCTCGTCTTTCCTTTTTCCTTCTTTTCCTCTGTTCCGTCTTGTCCTTCTTTTTTTCTTTTTGCCTTTCTTTCCTTCCTTTCAGCTTTTCCTCCATCTTGTCTCATCACTTCCTGCGTGGCGACGAGAGAGCGCATTGACACTTCTCTTTTCTTCTTTTTGTCTCGGGTTCTTTTTCTTCTCGTGCTCCTCTGCTCCTTTTCTCTTCACCTCTTTGCTCTTCTTTGGCTCTTTTCTTCATCTTGCCTTCTTCTCTTTCCTATCTTGCTCCATCTGTTGTCCTTCGTGGCCACCAGTTGGACTCAGGCGCTGTGTTTTCACTCACCAGACGGATCTGGAATGTTCTTTCAGCTTCTCCCACGCGCCACATTTGACTGCAGGACGCGCGTCGTCAAAGGCCGAGGCCAACCGTGAACGGTGAACATGGCCCGGAGGTCAGAACAGCATTTCAAAAGTGTAACTCAGCTCCCAAACTGGCTGTTTGTTGTTTGGCGGAAGGACGGCTCAGAGAGCCCGCCCCCTCGCATACATCATCTGGGGGACACTTCAACTCTTCTTCACCTTCAATCAATTGCATTTATTTTAGTGTGTGCGTTTGTGTGCATCTTGGCTTTTCTATGCGGGTGTGTGTATGTGTGTCTGTCTGTGTCATATGTTCTTAGGAGATATGTGTGTGTGCGCGCAAACGGACATGCTGTGGATGTGCACGTACGTTTATGGGGGGGGTATCATTCAAGATTGAGCTCAAACGACAAGTGAAGCCCCACCCCCACGTTAGCGACTGACTTGAGGTGGAGGCAGAGGCTAGTTACCACGGTAACCAAAGTGCCCGCCGTCCACCAAGTGATGGACACAGGCTTGTGCTTGGCGCGAGGTGGTGGTCGCCCTGACAACATTTCCCCCCCTCCATTGATAACGGGATGATTGTAAATAATAAAGCATGTTTATTCTTCTTGATTTGGGCTTTCGGACTAATTCAGATCACTGTCCGTCTTTCTGCTCCTTTGTGAACATTTTCATCTGGTTGAATAAAAACGTTTCTTTGTTCTTCACTGGAAGGAGAAGTGTACGCAAGTGTGTTGCATTCACTTGAGAGAAAAAAATCATTTACATTTTATTTATTAAATATATTTTTCTGTTTCATTTTTTGGAACAATTTTAATTTTAAGGAAAACAGATCACAAAAATATTTTAAAAAACGCAATATTGAAAAATTATATATATGACTCAGAAAAAAAGGTGAATACTATGTGCTTCTGTAAGATCATGTTGGTTTACGGGTTCTCAATAAAAGAATTAATGCCTCTATTGTTTCAAATTCTTTCCAATCTCAGGGCGTAGAAGTATCCAGAAAAAACAGGGACAAATGTTTCCCCAAACAACTAAACTGCATGTTTCCGATAAAATATTAAATACTTGATTTATTTTTCCCACCGAAAACGAAAATGTCACGATAAAATCTGCATCAAAAATTGACAGATGTCACAGAAATACTTTCTCATTTGTCCGAAGAGCCCATCGTCGTCCTTAGAAAAGAGTTGTCGTTGTTAAATAATGAATCGTTAATTTAAAAAAATGAAAACAAAGTTTCTCGTTGTTGCAACAGGAAAAGGACGCGAACGAACACTCCTCACCCCCGCCCCGCCTTCAAAGAACGCGCAGGTTGATGACGTCACACGGAAAAGTCCTGCGCCCAGTCGCTGGCGGAGTTTGACGCGATCACAACAGAAAGAGCGAAAAGAAGAGTAGACCAAAGCGTGCGGCTCATGTAGGACGACTTGAGACGTGAGTATTTCGTCGACATTTTCACCTGCAAATACACGCTGTTGATCGTCGGCCTCGCGCCGCCGTCTACGTCCTGGAACGCCGTCGGATGTTGACATTAGCATTAGCCACCAGCTAGCAAGACAACATGAATTTAGGCCAGCTTCTTCCGCGTGTTACGCTCAGCAATGAGACATTTTTGTCGACCAATGTTAGTGGTTTCATGGTGGATGTGGCGAGGAGACCAGGACGATGGCGCAAGGGAACGGATGTGAGTAACCCTGCCTGTCGTCACCGTTTACTCTCTGGTTCAGGTTGCAGCCGGCGGTAGCACGATGGAGAAGCCTCCCTTCCGACACAACAACAACAAGTGCGGCGACTGGGAGCTGAAGGAGCGGCTGGGCATGGGGGGCTTTGCCCACGTCTACCTCTACCAGCATCACGTGAGTTCGCCGTGTACGCGTCACGGCTTGTTCCCCCCGCACTCCCCCTCTATTGACATGTCCTGTCAATGCAGGTGAGCGGTGAGAAGCTGGCGGTGAAGATGTGCCGACTGGAGCTGACGCCCAGGAACAAGGACCGCTGGAGCCGAGAGATTCAGATCATGAAGAAGTTGGTCTTTCCACTTTCGTCTTGTGCGAGGGCTGGCACAAACTCGAGTCTTAACTCTCGTTTGTTCTTTCTTTCTCCTTGCTAATCGGAAACGGCACCAACAATAATTTGTATCAAAAACAAGTTGTGCTTTTTGTTTGGCCCCCAACCAGCATTAACGTGCATCAATTTTCACAGAAATAATAAATTAGATAGATATTTGTTTGTGAGAATGTGAAAACAATTTTTCCCCTGATGGAAACAAAATGTCCACAAACACGATCTTTCTTAAATAATGTTATTTTTAGGGGCTTTTTTTAAGTAGTAGTGGCTATGGAATTAAAAAGTTATCCTGATCATGAATGAATGTTAGGGGGGGAAAAAAAGTGTCCAAACGTGCATTTGCATCCTTGTGCCCGCTCAGGTTAAACCACATCAACGTGGTGACGGCGCGGGACGTCCCGGAAGAAATCAACTTGATCGCATTGAATGACTTGCCGTTGCTCGCCATGGAGTTCTGCTCGCATGGCGACCTGAGGAAGGTACGGTGGGCCAACCTGGCCGGCGACGCATTGCGTTTGCCACCCACCGACCACCTTCCCTCTTTCTGATTGCGTCTTTCTTCAGGTTCTGAGCAGACCGGAGAACTGCTGCGGCCTGAAGGAGAGTGACGTTCTGTCCTTGCTCAACGATGTTGGTACGTGTCTCACGTCACACGCTGTGTTCCATATAATGCCATGCGTCACGTTGCGACGTGTTTGGTCGCACGTCGTGCCACGTGCGTACTTGCTACAATATCTCTTACATGTTTGGTGCGGCATTTTCCGTGAGTTGACTTGTGTGCTTGTGAGCCGGCGCGGCTTGGTCGTGACCCGCGTGACTGTGCCGCAGGTTGCGGTATCCAGTACCTGCACGAGAACAAGATCATCCACAGGGACCTGAAGCCGGAGAACATCGTGCTGCAGGAAGTCAACGGCAAGGTGACATGCTCGTCTTTAACCTTCAGTCGGGCTTCTCCGATCTTTCCACGGACCTCCCACATAATCCCAATGCCAGTTCAACAGAACTGTAATTAATTGCCATCGAGATTTTTGGGGGGTATGCACGGTTTGCGACAGCATTATGCGGAGCCCCCAAGCCACGTCTCGCGGCCCGCGCTTTGATTTGAGAAGCGCCCAGCTAATGGATGTGCTCGTTTCCTGCTTCAGCTGGTGCACAAGATCATTGACCTGGGCTACGCCAAAGACCTGGACCAGGGAAGTCTGTGTACATCCTTTGTGGGCACGCTCCAGTACCTGGTGAGAAACTCTTCAACTCCGTCCGTCCTCGGCGTCTGGCCGCCAGGCTTGTCAGGGTGCTCGTTGTGACGCGTGCGCGCGCGTGCAGGCGCCGGAGCTGTTTGAAAACAAAGCGTACACGGTGAGCGTGGACTACTGGAGTTTCGGGACCATGATCTTCGAGTGCAGCTGCGGATTCAGACCGTTCCTGCACAACCTGCAGCCCGTGCAATGGTACGTCTGCGACATCGGCGCGGCAGTTCACGCCGGCTGACCCACGGGCAAACCCGCCGTGTCGTGTTGTGGCGCAGGGCCAGCAAGGTACGGAACAAAGGTCCAAAAGACATTATGGCGGTGGAGGAGGCCAACGGAGAAGTGCGCTTCTCGTCGCATCTTCCGTACCCCAACAACCTGAGCAGGTGCGAGGGGGCAACTGCCGCCCGTCGTGTGGGTTTGCAAACGTCTTCTTTGAAGTGCCCGATCCGAGCACCCGCCTCAATTTGACAGACGGGCATTTTGGGGAGAGCGTGTAAACGAGGGCGTGTCCCCCGCAGGACGTTGCTGGAGCCCATGGAGGCGCTGTTGCAGCTCATGCTGAAGTGGGACCCGGTCCACCGAGGAGGCGGCGTCCATCCCGAGAGCAGGAAGCCGCTCTGCTTCGACCTTCTCGATCAGATCCTGAGCATGAAGGTCGTGATCCAACATACAAAAGGCTCTTTTGGAAAAACGCGGCTCATCTTCTCGATCAGATCCTGAGCATGAAGGTCATGCATGATCCAACATGCAAAAGGCTCTTTTGGAAAAACGCGGCTCACCGCCGGCCGCCGCTCCCCCCTGCTCAGGTGGTGCACATCCTCAACATGACCACGGCCCAGGTGCACTCCTTCCAGCTGGCGCCCGACGAGTCTCTGCACGCCCTGCAGAAACGGGTGGAGGCGGAGAGCGGCATCCACGTGGTCCACCAGGAGCTGCTGCAGGAAACCGGCGTTTCCCTGGACCCCCGCAAGCCGGCGGCGCAGTGCGTCCTGGACGGCGTGGTACGTGCCCGCCTGTCGTCGGCCGCCGGTACTGACGCGCCGCCGTCTAAACGTGTCCCATCTGTCCTGTGGCGCAGCGAGGCTGGGACGCCTACATCGTTTACTTGTTTGACAAGAGCGCCACCGAGTACTCGGGCCCGTTCAGTGCCAGGCAGCTCCCGGATAAAGTCAACACCATCGGTGAGTGACGCGGCCGCCTTTGCACAGACTGTTGTCTGGGGCGGCCGTGGCTCACGGGTTAAACATCTTCTAAATTCGTTCCTGAGATAGAAGGGTTGAAATGAAGGCGGCCACGCCCCTTTTTGCCAAACTCACGAAAATTCATCGGGCCGCTGTTCCCAAACCGATTGACCTGAAGTTTGCCATTTCACGCGTGCGTTTTCAGTCCAGGAGGCCCGGACGCCGCTGCCGCTGGGTGTTCTCAAGAAGGTTTGGGCGGAGGCGCTGAGCTACATCTGCGGCCTGAAGGACGACTACAGCCGCCTCTTCCAGGGCCAACGCGCCGCCATGTGAGTCGCTGGCGCTTGCGCTCGCCCGGTCCGCCCGGTGTCCTCACGCCCGCGTGTCTCCGTGGCCTCGCAGGCTCAGTCTCCTCCGCTACAACACCAACCTGACGCGCTGCAAGAACAGCATGTTTGGATTCTCGCAGCAGCTGAAAGCCAAGCTGGACTTCTTCCGCAGCAGCATCCAGTACGACCTGGAAAAGTACAGCGACCAGATGCACTACGGCATCTGTGAGTGCCGCGACCGCTCTGTTCTTCTCACGCACTCTACTGTCCTCTCACGTGCTTTGCTGTCCTCCGCAGCATCGGAGAAGATGCTGAAGGCCTGGCAGGAGAATGAGGAGAGAGCGGCTGCCTTTGCTCAGGTCACAGATGATCAGAAGGGAGATCTTGGCAACGAGATGAGCGACCGTTTGTCAAAATGCAAAGTCCGGTTGTAATTGGCCATTGTTCAAAAGATACTTCCCTAAACCGGCCCCGCGAAGAATCCCTCCAAGGATTTGTTCTGGAGGATTTTCACGGGCTCTTTTCTGAGACGGCGCCCGCTTTTCGCGTTGCCGATGAGGCGACTGCGCGACGTCAGCGTGCTGAAGCGGGCTTCCCGTGTCGTCCCGCAGGTGGCGGAGGTGAGCCACCTGGACGACGAGATCATGGCGCTGCACTCGGAGATCGTGGAGCTGCAGAGGAGTCCATATGCGCGGCGCCAAGGAGACAAGATGGAGCAGCTGTGAGTGTGTCGCCTCTCTTTCAAGCGGGCTTGGCCCGTCACGTGGATCCTTGTTTGGTTTCAGGAGGAGTAAAACATTGATGACTCTATCAAGTAGATCAGATATTTTAAGGCCACATATCAATAATCAGTCACCCAGCGAGTGATGCCGTTTGTGTT